GACTACCACAGCGCCTGTTGGAGAGGTGAGGGCCGACTGGAGCTCTTCCTCTCTTTTACAGCTAGTGACTCCACTGATTTCAAGATCTAAAACAACGCCAGTTAGCAAGCTGAGAAGCGTAAACGCTAAGCCACCTGTCAGTACTACAACTCCCACAGGAGGTGTAGCTGTGAAATCTGGCTTTCCCACGGCAACCTCTGGTAGTAACCATGTTCGTAATCTCACTCAGAAAGGACAAAATGAACAAGAAGTGACCAATCGCAAAGCTGTACCTAAGACACTATTTGGGCCAATTAGACCTAGGTCCGGCGGTAACACAGGGCCTATCTCCCCTAGAGCGAGCAGACATTTGGCTATTGAGGATAGGCTTTGGGATGCAGCCATGCAAAATAGTTGGTATAAATGGGCTTTGTATACGACAAGAGAAATGACTCCTAATGACTGCATAGTGTGCGCTCAAGCACCCGGAATGTTACCTGAGGTTGTTCCGGAAAAGTATACTTCTAGTGAGTGTGCCAGTACACAACGACGCACATGTAAGACTAGGAAGGTAATAGAGATAAATAAAAAGATTCCACCTCTTCTTAAGATGCCATTGTGTGGATTCCAATGCAGATTGCTCCATGGTACACGAGATAAGTACAAATATGTTGAAAAATATGCAGAATATAACATCCTAGAGGAATGTGCTGAATTTGCGATCCAAACAGACCAAAATGGTCCTCCAACGGACTACAAAATTGATTATAGTGCTGATTACGAATGTTTTGCAAGCGGAGGTTTCGCTGACGATGGAGGAGTGGACGTAGGTAATACATCTGTCAACTGTAACGTCACTTGGGTATTATCCTGGTTCCCGCATGCAAATATGACGCCACTTCTCATTGATACCCCTGTTTGGTATGAAAACCCTGTAACTCTTAGTCAGGACTGTGATAACATATCGATGACGATCCCCACTCTGGATCTCATAGGTGAGCAAGACATTCCAGTGGCCGACAGCTACTGGATGTGTGGTGGTGATGTTCTAATGAATGTTTTGCCAAGTTTTTGGGTTGGGTTGTGTACGCTAGTACGTATGAAAGTTCCAGTGACTATCTTGCATGAAGGTGTGAGTGAATTACTTCAGTTGGAGACTACCAATAGACGTAGGACAAAGAGGTATGATGTGTTTGATCATAAAGTGCATTTAAACGCCATAGGACTGCCAACAGGAATTCCCATAGAATTTCAAGCAAGAGATGAGGTAATAGCAGGTTTAGAGTCAATTCTTCCTTGGATAACAATAAATAAGAATGTGAAATGGATCAACTATGTTTATTTTAATCAGCAAAGAATCTTAAATTACACAGTAAATAACCTTGGCCTCTTGGGTGAACAACTTCATGCCACAGTCAAAATGACTTTGCAGCATGACCAGGCTTTGGACTGGTTGCTGGCCGAGAAAGGTGGGCTCTGTAAGTTTCTGAACTCCAGTGGGCAAGAGTGTTGCACCTACATTCCAAGTAATACGGCCCCTGATGGTGCATTTACTGAAGGCATGAGGAAATTGAAAGATTTAAAGATAGAGCTGAAGGAGAATGCAGGCAGGGAAAGCTGGTCCTTAGACTCCTTAGCCCTCAAATTGGGACAGTGGGGAGCTATTTTGGTAAAAGCAGGGATTAGTGCAATAGTAGTACTAATTCTGATTTCTCTATTGGCATGTTGCATCCTACCTGTTGTGAGGAGACTGTGGGAGCGAACTCTGGCTGCCCAAATGAACCTTGCTGCGTCGTCTCAATATGTGCAAATGGAAATGGCCGCAATGGACTCAGCACAACACCCAATGTGCCTGAAGAATGGGACGGCTGATGGGACAACGGCGGAGTAATCTTTGCGTCTCATCATAGATGTTGCTGTTGTGGTTACATGCACTCGACTAAGGAATCGGCCTCAAAGTCCTCTTCCAGCGGCAAGACCCCTGCAGCAGTCATCAATAAAACTGAACTTGACTCTTATGTTTTCTTCACTCCATTTCTTTTTCAGTTCTGCAGCTGGGACTCTGACTCCGTTCTCTATTTCAGTTGAGCAGTTGTGTTGTTACGTTGAGTATATTCATTACACCTCCTGTTGTGTTTAACTTTTATAGGTTTAGTCGCAGCGACATCATCTAGTCGTTCATTCGTATCCACGTCAATCATTTATTTCACATGAGTTTGTATTTTTGATTGCATATTCACGTACAGTTACTGGTTGCAATATTGCTAAGGGTAATTAATGCTCGATCATGCTTATGATTTTTGTTCTCTGTTGGAAGGTTTCATCAGTTTGTTTTCTCTTACGTGCGTTCTTTTGTTAATTCACTGTTACCTAATGTCTGCCATATACTTAGGCTAGGCTTGCATGCTCACTCTGTGCTTTATGTGACCGTCCTGTTTGGGGCCAGGAGGTCAAGGGGGAATTTTTCCTGTTAATAACAGCGGACAGGTTTTCGCCCCCTTACAGTTTGCGCATGCATTTTGATGTGACTGAGCTGGTTAAAGACGTCACATTCCATATTGTGTTTTGAAGCTGATACTTCCTTTGTGTACTCATCCAAGTGTTGGTTTGCAGTTACTTCGTCGTTACATATATGCCTATATAGTTTGGTTGAAGTTTGTAGTGTATTTGTCATTTTGCCATTCGACGCCCATTTACTGGTTTATGTTAACGTTCACTTATGTGTTAAGTTATATGTTATGTAGCCAGCTTATTAATGGGGGTGGACACCCCCATGGGGGGGATCTGTAGGAGCTAAAAGCAGTGTTTTGTGTACGTGCATGTTGACATGTTGCTCATCAATGCCAGCCGGTTATCAGGCAGCCCAGCTGCTGAGTACATGCTCCAAAAACATGTTGATCTGCCCAGCTTATGTAAGTTTCAACTACTTTTGACCATATTAGGATGTGGAAGTAGCACCCCATCATTTCTCAGAATCAAAAGGGAGGTGGGGGTTGAATAGTATAACTGATGCTGCGTGGTGTAGGAGAGTGGGCTTTTGCAGAAGGATCTCCAGCCGAGGTGTTTAGATCGAAGCTGGACGCTGTCCCCTGTGAAGTGTTGGTGATGTATGGATGAGTTGTGTAAATAAATGCCCCCCGCTGAGTTTGGACAAAACCTGTCTCTTTCTTGTTTTTGATAAGGAAAAAGAACCACACCACTACCTTTGGCACAGAATGTTAAAGTTTGCCACGCCAATGTAAAAGAGGGATGGAATGCAACACAATGTATTTCTGATTTAGGAGCACAAATCACAGAGACCTTGTGCTGTTTTTGAATAGAAAATAATCTAACTTATTTCTTGTTGATGTATTTAAAGGTATGGTTATTTTCTATTTTTCACATTGATATTAGCATGATTTTTTTTCTAATTATTAACAACTAATGACAGATACAGCTAGCTGTGCCTTTGCTGAAGCCTCTGCCATGCAATTCCTGCAGTAATAATAACTCAACATTTCCACCACGTTGTGGGTGACGGCGGCACAGGAGTTAAGTGCTCGTCCCGTAATCGGAAGGTAGCAGGTTCGAGCCCCGCTCAGTCTGTCGCTGTTGTTGTGTCCTTGGGCAAGACACTTAATCCACGTTGCCTGCTGGTGGTGGTCAGAGGGAACGGTGGCGCCAGTGCTCGGCAGCCTTGCCTCTGTCAGTGAGCCCCAGGGCAGCCGTGGCTACATCGTAGCTCATCACCACCAGTGTGTGAATGTGTGTGTGAATGGGTGAATGACTGATTGTGTTGTAAAGCGCCTTGGGGGGTTCCAGGACTCTAGAAGGCGCTATATCAAATACAGGCCATTTACCATTTCCCAAAAACTTGTAAATGAGAAACTGATAGTTGTGTGAAAGGATTATACACACATGAACCATAATTAAAATATCAGGACAAACACAACAGAAATCCACTTTTTACTCTGGCCTCACTGTAGCTGCTAGCTCCGGTAAATCAAATGTCTTTTCTTCCTAACTGAGATCAGTCAAAATACTTCCTACAAAAGGAATGACTTTAGTTCTTCACAACTCTTCCTCAAAAACTCACTTTAAACAACCTGAGCCTTCTTTTTAATGTGTTAGCTTAAAATAATCTGATGTAGCATCTAGCTAACGGTACACTTCAACTTTCAATGGACATTTTCAGGCTGAATGTGATTTCAGCTGAATATTTTGCCTTTCACACACACACACACACACACACACACACACACACACACACACACACACACACACACACACACACACACACACACACACACACACACACACACACACACACCACCACCACCACCACCACCAAACATTGGAGCTGAACTTATCTTGTGAACAGAAAAAACTAATGGTGAAAAATGCACGTCTAAACTAATTTTAATGGTCTTTTCTCACTATTAGCTAGACAGGTAGTACCATAATAAGAAACCTTGGTAAAGCTACAGCTGTTACGTTTTTCACCAAAAATATAAATTTAATTTGACCAAAATACATAATAACATATCAATTTACAAAAGCAGATAACTGTTTATTCTCTAAGTATAAAAAATGCATCTTTTTATAATTTACTTCAGGCCAAATCATTTAAAATAGGTGAATTTGATCAAAAACAACTTTTATCTGCTTTTGCAAATGAATTATTCATAGAGGAACAAATGAACTGCACCACTGTCGTTAGTGAAAACTGGCACTGTAACCTGAAGTCACCTGAAAGGTGTGCCTCTGCAGGTTCAACTGGTAAATCACATAACAAGATAATGATGGGTTACATAATAAACTTACTACTTGATGGGGTAGATAAACTTGAATTTAAACTTTTAGTGATGCTTTATAGATTGAAAACATGAAAATACAGCAGGCAAATGTGTTAGATAGATTCAAAAACTGTAAACTACCTTTAATATTGTTGGACTTGCAATCTAAAGTCAAATGTGACAAATGTGGGTTCAAACACAAACTACAAATCAGTAGTTTTGACAGTAGAATTGTAAATTACTCACATAGTTTCCTTGTAGTGTGCTGGTTGTTGATTGCTGACATGCAAAAGATGCTGGGCTCAAGAAGACGTAACACAAAACAGCTTCACATAGCAGAGCAAAATAAAGAATCAAACATTGTTTGTTAATCACTTTTTAGAAGATTATTTGTTCATTTTGACAATTTTTTTTCTAAAATCTCACCTTGCGTTTGTTGAATCTGACTCCAGAAGTTCTGGACTGAGCAGCTGGTCCGCGATGAATCGGGACACGGGAAGATTTTTATTTGCTGAAAGTTTTGCTTTTACACACAGATGCCCTGACCTTCTGAAGCAAAGTCCAGTATGTGGGTTAAAGGCAAGCCACAAAAGTTTATTGCTTGTGTTTTGAAACAAGTTTACCTAATTGTGTGCAGGGCTATGTACAGTGTTGGGCAAGTTACTTCAAAAACACACACACACACACACACACACACACACACACACACACACACACACACACACACTCACACACATACACACACACACACACACACACACACACACACACACACACACACACACACACACACACACACACACACACACACACACACACACACGGGCCATACATAACAAGTCAACACGCAACATGTTGGGCAAGTTACTTCAAAATTGTAATGCATTATTTATTACTTGTTACCCTCACTTTTAAGTAATTCATTACATTACCATATTACTGATTTTAAAATGTAAGGCATTACACTACTTTTGCATTACTTTAAGTTACTTTTACCAAAACAACTTCCTTATGAATCTGGTAATCTGAGAGAGCTCATGACATAAATGTGGTAAGTGATGTGGTATCTGAGCTAGGACTGCTGTTAAAAACAGTCAGATATAATAACAGTGCTTTAAAATGATTGTTTACTAAATAAAAGCAACAACAATCTGTACTCTCAGCATGCTGCCAGCTTATATTAACTGATAGGGATGTAAGAAAATGTCGATTATGGCAATATATTGTGATATTTTCCCCAGCGATATTATATCGATATTCAAAAGCTGTGTATCGAAAATATCGATATCACAATATATTGTGATATTTTTTCTTGCAAAAATGTATCGAAATTCAAATTTTGGAAGAATTTACATGGAAACATTTGTGTATTTTCTTTTCTTGTGGTGCAATTCAAACGCCGACCACTAGTTGGCAGCAGTGTGTAATGGGTTTTGTTTCTGTCATTGAAATGTAAATCCCTCTGTTACGGTTAAACATGTTAAGTATCAGTTTGGACTGTTTATTGAATTTTCCTATAATAAATTTAGTCTAAAAAATCGCCAACATCGTCCGACTGAATGTATCGCAATATATCGTGATATATTGTATCGTCTCCCCTGTATCGTAATACGTATTGTATCGCCAGAATTTCACCAATACACATACCTATTAACTGAGCAGGGAGTGAGGTGGTGGGGGCTCCATGCCTATATTTGCCTTGGTCCTCAAATGCCTTGATACGGCCCTGGATGTGGGACTGGCTTATGGGGTGATCTGATTCTATCACATGTATAAATATTAAATGCTTATATATTATTGCTTTTCACAGGTACAAATGTGTATTGGGGCTAAATCTACCTACTTTTTTCTTTTTATCTTGATTTTATTTGAATAATTTCCTGCCCTCTCTCTAACCTTCCTGCATGCTGCATGTTTTCTCCCATCTTCCAGAAAAACTGTAAACTAGATTTCCTACTTTCTAACTAATCAGCCAAAGGGATCTACCGAACGCAAAAAAAAAAAAAAAAAAAAAAAGGTTTAATATGTGCTGTGCTTCAGCAGCAATGAGTTGAAATCACCGGGGCACAGATTATGAACTCAGCTGAAAAGTACATGAAGTACCAGAGAATATGGGCTGATATAAACGATCGCAAACAAATTACTTTATTTTGGTGGAGCGATTTTGTGAATATAATAGCGGACGCGCACAGGACGTAGCTGGAGTGTTTGAGCCATTACCCCTGCATCCTCTCGGCTCATAGAATGCCCGCAAAGCTGAGTCCATAAATGACGTCATATATGTGGATACTGGATCTTTTGTCAGGCTTCCCGCAATTAGAATTTTTAGGAAACCCACATCTTGATTCTGGGTTTAAAAATGCATTGTAATTACCGCGTTACTGACAATTGTACCGAGTAAATATTACCTTTTTCTTCCCCTGTAATGCCTTACATTACCACATTGCAGCAAAAAGCAATGCATTACAGTAATTAATTACTTTTGTACCGTGTTACTCCCAACACTGGCTATGTAGTAGAGGTTGAGGGACAGCTCAGGGTTAAGGTGTTTGCCATGCAAACCAGTGGGTTGCCGGCTCAAACTCAGTCAGTGTCAGTTGTCGTGTCCTTGGGCAAAACGCTTAACCCCCTTGCCTGTTGGTAGGTGTTACAACCCCTGCTAATGGAAGAAAACAAGAACCCATCCTCTTAAGGGACTGCTGTGCCAGTGTAACCAGTTGATTGGCTGCTTCAGATGTTTCTGCCGACGCCCTTCTGCTTTGTTATTGGTGTGGCTGTGTGCAGCCTGCATTTTTTTTTGATGAGTGGCTGCACCTGTGCAGCCAAAAAAGGCTGCTAAGTGCAAGTTGGCGAGACTCAGGAGGATGAGAAGTTGAGGCTGATCAGAGGGAGCACCTTTGGTGGCTCTTGCCTGTGTGGCATTTTTTTGAGGAGGCCTTTTAGAGGCTTGGTTTTAATGAAAAAATATACTCTTGAACATTAACCTTGTGTCCTGACCTCCTCCTTTTGTTGCAGTCCCACAAGCCGGGCTGTAACAGTAGTGGTCAGGGAGACAGGTTGCACCTGTGTATGGCAGCTGCTGTCAGTGCGCCCCAGGGCAGCTGTGGCTACAGTGTTGCTCATCACTTCCAGTGTGTGTGAAAGGATGAATGACTGTAGTGGAAAGTGCTTTGGAGTCCTCTGCCTCACTACTCTATATGAGTGCAGACCATTCACCATCCTCCCTGATCTTATATCTTACTTCTTACAATGAAATAATCTGTATAGCAAATCTAGTGCTATTGATTCTGGAAAAACCAATAGCACTCAGGTTTACGCAAACAATCTTTACATTTAGAATTAGCTTGCAGATGTAAAATTTATGCAGTAAAATATAAAGCATTTTATTTAAATATCCAGTCATTATTTTACAAGCAGAGAGCCACATCAGATGGATGGAAGAGCCGCATGCGGCTCCAGAGCCGCGGGTTGCCGACCCCTGACCCAAAGAGTCCCCCTAGAGTCACTCTGTCAGTGGCAGTGTTTACATGGCTGTGCGGAACCAGGTTATTGTGAATATTCGGGTTTTAAAAGGGTTACTGCCTGCATGTAAACGCAGTGAGTGACTGGGTGCAATCTAACTTCCTCCAGTTAAACAAAGACAAGACTGAAGACAAAACCCTAGTTTTTTTTAAAACAAATTTTCCCAACACAGGAATTGCCCCAGTGTCTGAAATGTGATATACAAGTAAAGCTGCCTTGCCAGTTTGGGTCAAATGGTTTTCCGTTCAGCCATCATCCTCTGCTTATGCGGGGTCAGGTCAGGAGGCAACAGCCTAAGCAGTGAACCCCTAACCATAAGCAGAATAACTCCTAAAGTCAATGCAGGATCCGTCAGCATTAAATCAAACTTAAACTCATGTAAAGTGTGAATAAAATGAGCTCATCTAAAAGTCTTGCTGCAGATGTGGCCTGTTTGTCATGGCATCTTGCTAACATAGTGGCAAGCAAGTGATTCTGGTGAAATGTTGTACAGAAGAAGGATAATTGGAACATTTCAAGATAAGCTTGCACATAATCATTAAAACCATGTTCATCTCTGCCTTCGTCATCCATTGCACTATGAATGGAGATATAAATAGAGGAGTTACTGGACATGTACCAGCTTTTGCCAAAATGCAGAACTGTGATTTCATGGGCTCTGAAGTGAAGCTCTTTGAGGATGATTTTCTTGTTGAGCCAGTGGCTGCCATCAATTGGTACCACCAGAATCTTACTGCTTCTACAGGGACTGAACAGTAGAAAGCACAAGATCGTCAGGATCACAAAGGTTGTTCTGGACATCTTCTGAAAAAGAAGATAAGAAAAATATCTGAGAAATATTCTAAGATCAGCTAGCAACAAATTTTTCTAACTCATCTTTCATCACACCTACTGGACTTTGCTTTACAGTCACCAGGCATCTGTAAAAGAGAAGGTCTGATAGAGAGGTGAAATGTTCAGGTTGTCATACAGAAATACGTCATACACTGAGAAAAAAAAACCAGAGCGTGTTAGATACGGCACTACCAGCTGGTGTGAGGAGATGTTATTTATTATCAGATATCACACTTGTCTGATGTTAAGCTGATTCCAGAAGCTGGAGCTGCCAGCCCTCAGTAAACAGACAACAGTGAGCTCAGTCTCACTCTTGCGGCCTGAATTAACCTATTATTGATTTGAGTGGTTATATTACACAACTATGGTAAATATTGTGATCACGTGATCGCCAGGGAAAAAGGTGGAAAATAGGTTAACTTTTCACCGTTTTCCTGTTTGGAGGCACAGCCATGAAACCAAGTATCTAGTTTAACAAAGTTTTGTCCCAGGACTGAGGGAGAAGGAAGTGACATCACAAAAAAAGGAACACCAAAGAAAAAGGACGTAAAAATAAACTAAACTTTCCCCATAACACACATTTTCTTTCAATGCTAAGCATTCTATTAGGAAGCAATGCATTTTGGGTAAATCTCAGACCCACAAGGACAATGGATGAGGTAACATGTCTCTGCACTTTTAGACAAAAATATTATAGTAATGTGCTTATAAGCTGTAATAAGGCTATTCATCAATATTATTTACTGTAGCTGAATTTAGTATGACTGTTGTTTTGTTATCAGTGTAGTTTTTACTGTCACTGAAAATGAAGTGGGTTAGCATACAAATCTATTCAGTTCCGTTGTGCTGTTTCCATTCTTTCTGCAAAATAGAAGTCACCTGAATCAGAGGACACACATGTCACAACCCACTGTAACATCAGCAATGTAGACATTGATCATGGTAATGCTAACAGCTGAATGCCTGAGATACTAACTCCAGAGCTACTGCAAGCCTGAGAAACTCTAACCTGAGCTACTGCTAATGTTAACCTGAGCTAACTCTAGCTTGAGCTACTGCTAATGTTAGCCTGAGCTAACTCTAGCTTGAGCTACTGCTAATGCTAACCTGAGCTATAACTCTAGCTTGAGCTACTGCTAATGCTAGCCTGGGCTACAGCTAATGTTCTAGTTGGATGAAAGGAAAACAACTAAGAAGAATTGGATTACCACTTAAGCCGGGCGTACACTGTGCGACTTTTTCACTCGCAGCGTTCAGCTTCAGCTCAAACTGTACGACTTCCTCGCAGAGCAGATCTCACGAGTCATGTGCTCACACTGCACGACCCAGTTCTCGCATGCGACCTGACTGCTCACACTGTACGTCTGGTAGCAACACGTCGGCCCTAAAAATGTGCTAAAAATAGCAGTTTTTACTCAACACGTCAGACTTTTTTGTCTTGTTTTATATTTATGGGGGTTGGATGGGGAAAACGAAATAAAGAGAGTAAATCTGTGTTTTGTGATCAGTTTAATTTGACATGAACACGACAAACACGCTTTCTTGACAATCTTTGTGAGTAAAAAAACGTGTAGAAACAAAAACGAACAGCGTGTGTTATTGGGGAAGTAGCGAGCGACCGGCGTTGATGCAGGATGGCGCGCACATGCGCCGTGAGCGGTTCTGATACATTTTGGATCGCAGCTGCTCGCAGCGCCGCTTCAACAGTGCGATACCCTCACGAGGGACGAGCGAAATATTAAACACACCAGAAGTCCGTGCGACCTCACGACTGCTGATCGGCAGCTGGTCACGTGGTGTTAATCGCCTCTCGTAACCCCCTGTACACTACACCACCGCTCGGCGCAAAACTCGCCCCGATGTCGTGGATTCTCGCACGACTGGAAAATCGGTTCAAAAAAGTGAAAAAGTCGCACAGTGTACGCCCGGTATTATGGTCAGGTATGTACTGGGAATATCCATGTGAATGAATACCAGTTAGAACCACCGTTTGCAATTCTTCAGTCCTTCAAAATCACCACAAAAACACTGTCTGACACTACCTTTTCCAGTCATTCACTTTGTTTATGTCCGCGATCTCCATCCACATCCAGACAGAATTATCCTCTATTCTTTCTCTATTTTCTCTGCTCTTGTCTGGGCTGACGTAGCGGACATTGCACGCAGCGCGCCTAGCGGCTGTGATGCACATTTTACGCATTTGGAGAGGTGGGCTGGATGCTTTGCTTTTACTGGAAGATGATTTTTTTTTCAAAAATGCCAGAGATTTTGCCCCATGAATAACCGTAAAAACTACCGGTGTGCATGTACCCTTATGAAAGAGTCCTACGTTGAGATGTAAATGTTAGAAGTGCAGGTAATGCATTCTGGTGCCTATAATTAAATTGGGAGTTTTTACTTCATATTTTAGAAATAAAAATGACGGGGGGAAACATTTATGATGTCTTTTTAAACGAAATTTTCTTGCGCGACCTGCCTGCTTCACTTAAGTCACTGCTTATTAAGGTCCGTCCAAAATTACCGTGGCCCACCCAAAAATGAAAACCTGACGCCGCGCCTGTTATAAACCTCTGCAAATAGTTGTTCTTCACTTTATCAAACTCAGAGTTTGTACAGCTAATGTCAAGATGTAAAATTATGAATTCGCTCTTCCCTCCCTCTCCTGTTTCTCCTTAAACCCGACATCGGCTGTCGGGTTTAAGGAGAAACAGGAGAGGGTGGGGAAGAAGGAGATGAGGCAAACAGAGTGAGTGCGACATAGAGAAACCAGACTGGTGTGGAGGTGAGCAAAACGGCTGGAAAAGTGAGGGTGTCAGTTGAACGATTTCAATAAGAAAAATGTGGGTGTTGAATCCCCCACATCCCCCACGGGTGCGACGCCCATGAGCGAACTGCAGATTCAGCCACACCATGAAGCAGAAATAAGTCGGTCTGAGGCAAAAGTGAACCTCATAGCTATAGCTTTTCCAACTTTTCCCCTATAGACATTTGATTACGCACAAGTAGGTTACCAGTTCAGGTTTACGCATATTTATTATTATCACTAGGTTTTGATCAAGTAGGTGGGAAAAAAGTTTTCATTGAAGGGCTTCATTATGGGTTATGCTTGGACATTTATAAGGGCTCCTGGGACATTGTGAGCCAAAAAAAATCTATATGTTTTATATAGGCTCAAAGAACAGTCTGCAATGATAAAGTAGCTTCTTCCTAGTCACCTTTAAACACAGGTTGCCCAAAAAAGTTGAGATAAATCTTGTTTTTCAGCTCTCATCAGACCATTTTATTGATGTTTTTCCAATCATCATCTTTTACCTTTTCATATTTTTTCTTTAACATGAATTAGATTTTATTTCTTCATCCTTCTGTTATTTTGTCAAGGAAGATGTTATATTCATGTTTTGTTTTGTTTTTTGTATATTTTGTTATTCACATGACTTGGAACTAATAAAGAAAAAATTTAGGCAGAAATGTTAGGAAATTTCATTTTTTTTTATTTTTATTTTTTTTACGTGTAACACCACATTTCATCAATCACAATGACTTACTCATAATAAAACACTCTTAAAAATAAAGGTGCCTATGGGCTGCCATCTTCAGCATCAGAGAAGTAAATTTAACATTTAATACTAGAAAATAATTTTACAAACATCTGATTTACAACACTGCTACCTAGCAGGAACAAAACCTATTCACAATGATTACTTTCTCTTTGGAATGGGAATGCAACGTTTTAGTTAGCTTGTTTAAATTACAGGACGTTTTGGAATCTTACACACAATCAGTGATTGTCCCTACTGGGCCTTAAGCCCATTTGACTGTAGAAGTAAACCTGATTTCAGCCTGATCTGCTGTTGGTCAAACACATATGAAATTACAAAAAACAGAATGCGGATGACTGTTATCATGAGCTCTGTGATGGTTTACAGACTCACAAAGCTTTATAGTTTCAGTATGCGAGTAAAATATAATAGTAGAAAGTCATAAGTTCTAAAACACTGAGAATAAACTTATCATAGTTCTCCAGAAAAACACCAGTTAGTTTCAAGTAAAAAACATTTTTTTCATCAGTTACTCTGCTTTCATTTTTCTGCTGAACCTCCTGCAGCAGAGAAACCTACAGATCAGGACTGAACCCCAGATGAAGGTTCCAGTTATGACCATAAAGAAGGCAGCCACATCCAGACAGAAGTAGGAATACCACGGCAGGCTGAAACCTGCTGCCTGTAGGTGGGGCGCTCCCTTGTTCCTGATGACATACTCAATCCAGAAGATGGCCGTGTCCATGGGAGACATTGGTTGGTCTCGGTGTAGCTGGGAGAGACGCTGGGCGTTTTGGCGGTAAGATGGATTCTCTAAGACGTCCTCTAGAGCCTCCAGGAAACTGTCTTTGGTCAGAGATCTGACCTCCACAACCCGAGCGGCACCACGTACCTTCAGTCGGAGTACGTTGTCAAACTGATCAAAAAGAAGAGGCATAGCTACAACAGGAACACCATGATAGATGGCCTCATACATGCCATTGGTCCCTCCATGGGCTACAAAGACACGAGTCTTGGGGTGTCCAAGGAGATCATTCTGAGGAAGCCATTTCACCAGCATGGTGTTATTTCCCAGAGATGAAGGCTTTTCACCAGTGAACCTCCAAATCACCTTCTGAGGGAGCTCAGCAAAGGCAGCAGCGATGGCCTCTGTGATCTCAGGTGGAAGAGCTGATATAAATGTCCCTAGAGACATGATGATGACCCCATGTTCCCCAGAACTCTGCATGAATGCCTCCAACTCATCAGGGAGAGGTTTTGACTCTTTGCACTGGAACCCTCCAATGTATACCACATTGGGCATGGTGGGCCGAGGGAACTCAAAGACAAAATCTGACCTGAACAACCAGATATCAGCTGACATCTCCAAAGACAGCAGGTCAGTCCCAGCAGGGAAGTGCTTCTGGAACAAATCTGAGTATGCAGGGTTAATGACGAAATGCTGCTCATAAACATAGTAGAGATAGTGCAACATATTCTTTGTCCTTTCTAGAAAGTCCATTTGATCGTGTAGCTCACTTCCAGGTACAGGTATATAGGAGATTGGAGAGGGAGCTATAGCAAAATGTCCCTCTCCATTATTAATCCATCGCACATTAAAAACCATCGGCAGCTTGAGGTAACTTCCTAGAATAACTCCTAAAGTCATACCAGGGTCGGTTAACATTAGGTCAAACTTAGACTCCTGCAATGTCGTCACAAACAGGGGGTCATCCAACATTGATATTGCTGATTTGGCCAGAATATCATGGGCTTTTGTTAACAAAGATGTGATCAACCTCTGCTGACAAAAAGTGCGTAAAAAAGCAGAATAACTGCGGCAATCCATGACGTCTAGTAGCAGTCTGTTGTAGAAGTCCAAGTCTGCTTCATCTTCCAACATTGTTACATTGATAGAAGTATAAATGGAGGAGTTACTGGAAATATACCAGCTGTTTGCAGAGCGCAGAACTGTGATCTCATGGCCACTGGAGTGAAGCTTTTCAAGGATGATTTTCATATTGATCCAGTGGCTGCCATCGACTGGTACCACCAGAATCTTACTGCCTCCACAGTAAGATGGTTTGAGTAACAGAAGGCACAGGGCCATCAGGATCACAGACATTATGCTGGACATTTTCTGAAAGGGAAATACAGAAAAGGCGTTAAAGCTAACGAGATGATTATTGGGTTGAAATGTTGAAATAAATACCAGGTAAACCAACAGGTATTTCAGTGGCTCTTGGAACACTTGAGACTGTGACCCCTAAATTGAGAGTAGCTCATGTAGATTTGAGAAACAACATTAAAGATCTCATTCTAGAAGGGAACACCTCCCAGAAAAAAAAAAATCCTGGGTAGAGGCCCCAAGGACTAGCCTTGCAAGCCATCCTTGTATGTAATCTGCAAGTCTGGGTTAAAAAACAATAATGAATAATTATCAGGTACTTAATCTTAAATAACACTAACTGGTAACCGGGACAAAAAAAGTCTTGACCGTGAAGTCTTTAGTCAAAAAATACAGATGCTAGTCAGATTCTGGCTCAGTGTTGCAGTCTATAGATTTTGTTCTGCGTTTATTTCAAGATAAAAGTAAACCAAATACCTTATTGGTTGTTTCTGAACCTCAAGTTCAGGTTTGAGCTGCCAGTTCTCAGTGTGCCCCGGTACCGCTTGGTTTTTATGTGCACAGGTCGTACCTTTTACTCACAGATGTCCTGAACTAATGAGGCAAAGTCCAGTGTGTGGAATAAAGATAAGTCACTACGTTTATAGTGGCTGTTGGTTGTTCAGCATTCCATTCCAGGGTTTGTGAATGAACCATTCAAGTTCTCATATGTGACCCTGATTTTGACTTAGTTGACCTATAGTTACACTGGCTCCTGGTTAATTGCAGAGGGAATTTAATACTCTAGTAGACATAAAGAGCTCGTAAGCAGCAGGGATCAGGACTTGGCAGACAGCTTTTGCATCCTTATATCCCACGTCAATCCCTAAGGTCCTGTATTTAATTTATACATCTAGAGCCAGCCAACAGCATAACTTAAACATCTCACGCAACATTGCAGTGCTATAAAAGCGGGTATCATACTGTTCTAATACGTCAAAATGATTTTTATGAGCAAGCGATGCAATACTGGAAAATAGTTTCCTAAAGATGCAGATTATAGTATAGTTCTGAGGACATCTACAGAGGACTTACCCCTGTTGCTAGACACTTTGAGTTATACCACCTGCAGGTAGGGCCTCACTGTAAATAAATAACATCACTCCAAAATATCCTAAATGTTTCTTTAAATGTGTTTTATTTTATCTACCTCAATCCCATTGTGTTTCATGGTATGTCTGTTTCACTGTGAAGCACTTTTTTTACTTTGCACAAATATAACTTGTATCTTGAGAGGTACCACATATTTTTAGACGAATAAATGAACACATTTTCATGCATTTAAAACTGACTAGATTAAAAAAAACAGCGTAGGTTCTTTTTTTTCTCTTCCCCTAAGCAACTTGTAAACTTGTTTATAAAACCGGATGTTCTTACAGTATATAGGTTCAGTATTGCAGGTTTTTGTGTATTTTCACTCAGCTGTAGACATTAGAACACGTTTTAGCTCTAGTTTTACCTCATGTCTGCAGGAGGAAAACTACTAGCTGAAAGTCAGCCAGTGCGTGTGGAATGGGAGCGGACAGTGAGGGAGGAAACAGCAAGGTCACTCAGCGGAGGGAAAAAAACCATTACAAGAGCAGCACAGGTCAAAGTTTAGTGGTCATATCAGTGAGCTACAGACTTTCTCTCTTTTGTTCTTTTTCAGCAGAAAAACTGAGCTTTATGCAAGAGTCGGTGCAGCAAAACATGGACTAAGGCCCATGTGTTGCATGTTAGTATTGTCATTGGATTAGTGGTGGGGTGGGGGTTAGCCTTGAACAGGTCAGCAGAAATGTGTGAGAACCTGGAAAATGTTCTAAATAAGATGAACTGTTTAGTTTAGTGACCTTATGTTCTCTTTGGGTGGGACATGTTTGGGTGTTTTTGGTGTTACACTTATGTTACTCTTAACCCTCTCAGGCTCAAAACAAGTTTTGATAAAAGGACGAACAACTAAGTCCTTCAGGGGTACTTCTGAGTTAAAAAAATGCTCATGAAATACGTATGTGGAGTAACCAGGTAGGTAGGTGTTAACGATGCAAATCTGCAACGCCTGCCTCCAGAGGGTTAAATGTAACCTGTGCTCTCATGGTGTTCAAAGCTGTCAGTTAGTTATGCACCAGCTGTTTAGCAGTTTCTCCTCTTGTCATTGTGCCGCGGCAGCACCGTTAAGAAGGGGGACACCCCCAGCTTTCCACCGGATGCGTAAGCGTTGCCGTCTAAGAAGCATAATACAGCTAATAGTAAATATTTCCATTCACAGATTTTAGATTTGCACTCACAATTAAAAAATTCTAACCTTTACAATTTTCCAGACTCACAAATATAATAACAAAATTGTATGGACAACACTTATTGGAAGAAAAAAAAATGAATTTCAGAATCCTGCACACACCTTTTTGACAGCTATCTTACACCATAGACAGGAAGCTTGGGTAACTGCCTCAGTCATTCAGAGTGAAACCACAATATACCAACTTTTTACTGTTACAATTGTTCTTGTTGGACAATGTTATCATGATCAAGTTTCTCATTAAAATTAGATTTATTTCACTTTGAGAAACGTTATCATTATGAGATAGTGCTGCTTTTATTTTTCACCTTGCACTGACAGCAATAATCTTCCATACATATGCTAGATTCATTGGTATTTTACGTAATTTAGGAATAGCTGACAGTGAAGACTAAAACAGGTAATAACTTGTGGCAAGATGGAGAAATTAAGGCCTGGCAGGATTCAATCCCCAGACTCCTGGGTGAGGATCACACACACTAACCAGTCAGCCAAAGGGACATACCTGTGGCCAAGTAGCCAGGGGCATCATCAGTGGGTATACAGTGACAAGATGCTCACACTGTCACAAACTCATATCTAAAAATTTTATGTAAAGACTATGTCTTATGTTTTTGTATCACAGCAGATGGATGTAATGAACTGCTGTAGGGCTGCTCAATTAATCGAATTTTAATCACGATTACGATCTGAGTTTTGAACGATTATAAAAAACAAAACAAGCCGATTATTTGCTCCTCCCACTTGCGCTGCCCTGAGTTGCAAATGAAGCGCTCCTCCACAGTGTTGCCAACTTAGCGACTTTGACGCTATTTCTAGCAGCTTCTCAGACCCCCTTCTTGACTTTTTAATCCTAAAAGTACCTAGCGAACATCTCAGAAACATCTCTGGTAACCCTTAGCTACTTTCTGGATAACGGTCGTCGACATTTCCTGCAGGTTAGCTAAACACTCCGCCTGAGCTCCGGACCGTTCTTCACAACATTAGGAAAGGGAATGATGCAGTGATGTGTCGGTCGCTAAAGACAGCTCTCGGAGCCGGATCCCTGTTGGATTAACCAGAGTGAGTGACACACACACCGCACCTGCGGACTCCTGAGCAGCTAAAAACAGCTAAATGTGCGCGTGCAGCGTGCTAAACACACGTGCAGCTTGCCCGATTGCTGTGAGACCGGGTTGGGGGGTGGGGGGTGCAGCTGTGGTTGGGACAATTATTACATTAACTGATGGGCCTGTAAATAAATAGTTTATAAATAAGGTAGAAATAAGTTCCTCACGCTGATAAATAATAACTAATCTCTCTGAGGACACGGTGCTCCTACAGCACCTTGACACGACTCAATAAATGTTATGCAACATTTTGTGAACATCAATTTATTTTCATTTATTTGTTATAAATGCCACTGTATAATTCTTGCTGTCAGTATTTGCAAGATATTGGTATTTGGTTCTGTACTGGTTAGACTTAAATGAGTTAAACCAAGGTCTATAGCCCTTGGGTCATAAACTATGAGCTATAAGTATATTGGTCTTTTTATACTGGGAATCAGGAGTTATTTTAGTGATCATCTTGTTTCTTATTTTTGTCCTGATTGTGCCCTGAGCAATTTTATGACTGAATAAAAACAAAGAAAATCATCATAAATTGAAAAATCGTCCTAAATAATCGTGATCTCAATTTCAGTCACAAAAATCGTGATTATTATTTTTGCCATAATCGAGCAGCCCTAAACTGCTGCCATAATCAATAACCAGAAAAGCATCCTGAAAGACCCGCAGCATTGTTAACCTGTGCTAGGATGTTTGAAATCAAAGGTCTTATTTTAAATATAGTCAGAGGAGTTGTAAGAATTTAGTAGGAGGTATTTACAAGGTAGTGTTTTCTTCCATCAAAATCTTTATTTTTGAAAATCCAAGTCTTTACATATATAGTTGAAGATTAAATGAAACTTGCAAACTGCTACTGTAGCTGCATTTCTACATTTATTTCAATTGAAAAGCTTTAACTTATGCTTATTTGTTTTTTGTTTTTTTTGGATGTTTTATGTGTTTATTGTGTTGTCAGCAGATAAGTCCCAACAAGTTCAAACAGCTGTGCTTCCTGGTGGGGATCGGATGCCATATCAGGATTAGACACTGATAAAATTCTTTAGAACCCAAAAACTAAGCCAGTGTTCAGATGCTAATAGGTCAGAACTGTTATGAAATATTTAAAGATCTTAACATTTTTCTTGCAAATTTTAGAATAAATTAGAAAAAATCCCTTCCACAATAATCAGAAAGCCACTAACGAGACACATAGTTTTTATTCCTAATAAAAATCAAGCACGAAAATGACAACAACATCAAATAAAACCGTTTTACTTCCGACTTTGATACAGCTCTTAACGTGTTTGTCATCATCAAAAAAAGTTAATCTGACCTCATTAAGTTAAAGACAAACAGGAGAAAATCATATGAACTGTTTGTTTGAGTTACTTGGTAGTCACATACAGATTACTGAATAACCGGAGCAAGAACCTGCTCATAAACACCACTCTGCCTGTTTAACTGAGTTAGCAACACATTTACCATGTTGAGATTGAGCTGCTATGCTCATGCAACGTTAAAACTTTTGTTTTTTCTTTTTCAAGAGGAGGTCAGGAGAAAGTTTACGAGCTTTTAAGATTTTACGTGTCACAGTAAAATATTTGAACAACCTCAGTTTGCCCGAGCAGCGAAAGCGCAGAGAAGGCCTATTGTATCTGCTCTGTTTATTTTTCTTACGCCAAGTAAATTGGCTTTTTGGAGGCCTTAGCATACCCGAAAACTCAGGAATTTTTGCACACATGTCAGGCGTGGTGTAAAATTTTGTATTTTAAAAGTCCCAAAAAAATCGCAATAAAACTAGCTCCACAGCGCCCCCTAGAATGTAAAAAATACCCCCCTCCATAAACCTTAGTTTGTCATACAGTTTTGAAATTTTGTACACTTGAAGTACTCAACAGTTCGCACAGAAAAGCCTCTTGCAGTCATGGTCAACATCAAACAAGAAGTCGGCCATTTTGGTTTGAAGTGGTGATTTTGACCCTGTTTTGACCGTTTCAAGGGTCCGCTTCTGATTGATTTACTCGATCATTTTTCGCATGATTGTCTCAAAGTTGTGGGAAATTGCTCAGAAGTGATGGGTGATCAAATAGAAAAAATAAAATGGACTTTTTGTATATGCTGAGGGGGAGTGGCCAGGCCTCAAAGTTCGACTAGTCAAAAAATATAAATGGCTATAACTTCATATTCGAATAGAGTTACAA